TATTTACCTACTTAATCATTAGCTCGTCATGAATTTAGATTATCACTCATTTCTAATCAGTTGAAGTATGCATTTAGAATATTCGAATCGATGTTATTGAGATAATTGTATGATTTCTCTATTCAATAAAATAGTATGAGAATTCAAATACTTTTTTTAAATGTGAACAATGCTTTTAGAAAGACATTTGTTTGGCAAAACCACGTTATGGTTGTATTTATTTTCCAATCATTATACCAACCACTTTTTACAGTGCCGTATGGTAGCATCGATGTAGATAAGTGTGAGTGTAGGTCTTTCCTTGACCCATACCGTTTTTTCAACGACATTCTGTGAAGAAATCTACAATATATATGTACATCAATATAAATAATAAATATTCAGAAAGAATGAAATCACTGAATGGTTGCGAAAACGAAATTGACAAGCACAGACAGGAGTGGACCAGCAGTTCTGTAACAATTTTTAAAACACATTGTTTTCGGATTTAACAAAAGCCAACTATTTGAAATTTTGTCAAGTTAGTGTACCTATTTAATCATGAATAATAAAAAACTTATAGGTGTCTAGCTTTTTCTATGGATAAGAAATCTTAATAATACTATCACGCCGCATGTTTTTCGATTTTCTCAATGATTCTGATTGTTGTTTACAAAGTAATAGAGTTTTTCGTAAAGGAAAACAATAATATCGTACAAAAGCGTGCTTTGATACATTATTTCTATTTACCAATGAAGTAAACCAATTATAAAGTGTTTTTTTCTTTGTTTCTTTTAAGCGAAACACGTGCAAACACTATTCCAGCATTTGTCAACTAAATATCTGAATATTTGTAAAGTTAAACCAGTAAAATAAGATTAAAAAATGATTCCGCAAACAGTGATCCATCCTATCCATGGTTTACGAAGAAAGATGCCATCTCATACACATGTTTCTCTCTATACTACTCTCTCTTTTTTTTCTTTGATATTTATTTCATTCTATGCTTTCTTTCTCGTTCTAACAATGGCTCAATTTTCATCGAAGAAAAGAACGCAAAACCATCTGAGTCATGCAGTAATGAAACAAAATAGGCATTCTCTAACGTTCTTTTTCTTTACTCTTTCTCCACATCATAGCTTACTGATTACTCAACAGCTCTCCTTTATTTCTTCTGTCTTTCAATCAAAGAGAGAGCATGAGTTTAGAACTAGGAAAAAAGTAAGAGTCATATTAGGGCAAAGGCTATTATTTTTCGCTTATTTTTAATTGAAACAAAGATTTATTTAAAAATTAGTTCTCAATATTGAACCTATTTCGACTTCCCATTTACGTAGTTGTTTTTTATTTCATAGTCTTTTTACACTTATTTAAATTGAAATTAAAGCACAAAAGCCTATACAAATAGAATTGAATTAAATGGATCATGGTGTTTTTCTTCTTTCTTTTTTACATAACCACAGCTCGTAGTTCTTTCATGATATTGATTGTCTTTCAACATCTATTTCGAATTATGTATTCCATTCACTACAAACGTTTATATGTTGTACTTGAATCAGAATAAAATTTCTAGTAAGTGTGCGAATATGAATCTTTGCTTCACCGATACCCAGAATAAATAAGAGTTACAGAATTATCGCAAAGTAATTCTTCATTTAATAACTTTTCTAGAATCTATATTGTATTGATAACAGGTTTGAGTCAATCTGTCAATGTAAGAATTGTGATTTATAGTCGTGCCTTTATCTGCAGTATGCATACAAACGGAATTGTTTGATTTAAAGAATATGAATGCTTTACAATTTTTATGTACGATCACAACAAAAAGAAATTGAAAATACGTCTTGAAGCAGTCTATCTTTTTGAGTTCTGTTCTACCTGTGTCCATATTGAAGAACATGCTTAATATTCGTTCGGCAGTTATTGAGAATAAAATTTTCAAAATATCGCTTCAAAAAGTGAGTACAATTGCCAATTTTGCAAAGGTTTGAACATCTTTCTCCAAAAGAAAAAAATGATTCGTGCTGATTGATCAGAAGAAACCTTAGAAGTATACTAGGTTTAAAATTTCATTCATATAATAGAGCTGCAATTCACTCATATACAAACTAAAGTTTTTGGTTGATATCTGTTTTAGCAAGAGAAAAGGAATATCTTAACAATATGCATGAGAATAGATTGTTCGAATCAGAAAGTCATCTGAATCCTGTTGAAGAATTTACTAAAATATTAAAAAATCATTTTTTATATCATGTAGTTTCTATATAATTTTTCTTTTTTCAATTTTTAGATTTGAAAATGTCTTGATTAACAATAAAGGAATGTTCGATATGTGAAAATAAATTAAATGAAACAGACAGCTTGTGGATCACAGATTGTAATCATATATTTCATCGTACTTGTGCTCAAGATCTTCTTAATAAAAGAGGTAGAACTCATTGTTATTTTTGTCATCGAAAATCGGCTCTTGGAGATATACTATTTCGAAACACAACAACAACTATTAAAGATCCTCCTGAACAAAATGCGAATCCAATAAAATCAGATAAAACTGTAAGCTGCTTGTTTTTCAATTGAACTGACAGGGAGAAGCAAAAGAATAAGATCAATTTAAAATGTTGACCATTTTATAAAATATAAAAATTGCTTGAAAAATTTGTCAAACTTTTCAAAAATTAGATTCGGATTGACCTTTAAACTGTTTGAGATAATGACTTCGTATGAGAAATCTTAACATAAAGTTACACTTACAACGTGTTTTAACGTGTAGTAGATAGTGCAGTGTGGACAAAAATTATTTTAAGGAAACTTCGAAGATTTTCTCTAAATCACACTCATGAGTCTGAAGAAATTTGTGACCTATAGAGACAATTTTTCCACATGTATTAGAAGTTCCTGTAAGATCCTAGGTTTTTGAAAAAATTACGTTTTTCAGTTTTGTCATGTAACTATCTTCGTTTGAACGTTTTATGTATAGTAGCTTGTATGACGACTTGTTACATACGTAGATTTTATATTTCCGAGATAAGAGTTTTTAAGCTATTCTACTTTCTATTATTCACCACGATTCGAAAAGCATCTATTTTTGAAAAGATTGTATCTCGGAACAACGAACTTCGAAAACACGATTTTTCAGATAATCTAGAACGCTACAGGAGTCTTCATATTTGAAGCAATTTACTTGAGAGTGTAAAGATAAATCACGAATTCAAGTCTGTCTCAAGTACATTATTACTATTATGATATGTACATAAGTTTAGACTGTTAACAAAGGAAACAGTTGGGAATGGGAGAAATGTTCAGGCAATAATGAAACAGCAAGAAAACGATGTTGTTTTTGTGGAGAACCAAGATACGCTCAATCCTCAATGTCAACAACACTGACAAAAAAAGAATACAATGAAATAGAATCTTCTTATAGATGTCAAAAAAATAATGAAAACAAATCGTTAGACTCAGAAATTCAAGGTACTATTTGAAATTATTTCGTTTGCTATAGAAAATGAGCACAGATATGATTGGTAAGTTTGTAACAACACTAATGCCTGATGATACTATGATATTCAGCGTATAATTATGATTTTTTAGAAAATTCGATGATCCTGTAAAATCTATCTACACTCTTGTCTCGTGTTTCGAGCATGATCGTTTACGCAGTGCTCTATATGACATATCGATAGCAAGACAAGGCCTTTTTTAATATATATGATAATTACAAAAGTAAATATTTACATATCATCCAAGTTTCTTATGATATTTCTAATACAACTAAAACAAAAACTTATTTTCTTATACTAATTAGTTTAATAGAATTCATGAATGTCAATTTCTCAACTCTCAATAATTTTTCTTCTACCAATGATGAATGATACTCTTCAGAACGTGGAGCAATTGTATACATTTCGAATTTACCATTAAACATCGATAATGATGCTCATCTAGAAAATTTGATTTACAATCGTCTAGAAAAATCCTTTCAAATAAAACCAATTAGTGTTAGATGTTATTCAAAGTTAGGTGATGTTTTTATTCGTGTTCGTAACAATCAAATAAAAGATCGTTTAATTGAAGATATTCAAAAGACTGTATTAGATTCAACAGGAGATACATCAATGATTTCATTCAGTAATACAAATGAACTTATTTCAATCATTGTTATTGATCGAACTAACGAAAATAAAGATATTGATTTACCAAAACCTGAAGAAATCCTTAATCAATGGATCCAAACCTACAATACACCGAAACCTCTTTCATGTGATCAAGTTAATATTCAATTTCCAAATATTTATCACATTGTTTCGAGTTCATTCGATGATTTACTCAATGCTATGTCGAATCCAAACTTTTTAATTAATAGTCTATTTGCTCATGCTTATTTTGGTGCAGATTGTAGTTTTTTTGAAGATCTACCAAAATCTACAACGAAAGAACAATTACAAGAAGGGATAAGTAATTCAATTGAAATGAAAAATATTTCATCATTATCACTTCATATTTAATTAAATAAACAAACCAATAATGCATGTATTATTGCTGCTGATATAGCTCGAAAATGGGCAGCAAAAAGTTTTCTCTCGATTTGAAGATCGCTTCAATCATCAACACGATAGTGATAAGACGTATTTTTTTCGTTTCTTCTTCTACTCTCCTTACACTTCAAGTACATATACTGACCGTATATGTGTAAGTGCTGAACAATAGGAAGATTTATTAATTATATTAATACATGGGACACTACAAAAGTTTTTTCACCCAGTTCATCTAAGAGCCTAAGTTTGAGTTCAAGCATTCTGTTATAATGCTTAGACATATTTAGGATTATGTGCAAAATTTCAGCCTTATAAGTCTTGTACTTTGCTGTAGTCTGTCATTTCTTTTATACTAGGGGCATGCAACCTGCTAACGGATGATCCATCATAAATGGGAGAACTTTGCATTTCATATTTGGATTCCTAGATACGTTTTGTTGAAAAAAAAAACATGCCAGAAGATGCAGCGTGAAAAGCTCCACAATTTACACAAGACAGCTTATTTTACAGCTGCATTTATTTATTTTGAAAACCAGCAAAATTCTGAACGATCAAATTTCGACGTTGCAATAAAGTAGTTTTTTTGAATGCGATGAACGCTTTTTTTTCTTATTTATCACTTGATATATTTTATTTAAAAAAAAACAAAATAAACCACAAGATGCAGCGTAAAAACCTGTACAATTTGCAAAGAACAGTTTATATTACATATGCAGCTATTGTTATTAAGAAAAAGCAAAATTCTGAGCTACCAATTTTCTAGACTGCAAATATTCTACATGAACGAAGACTTTCTTTTTTCGTATTTCATCCTTTTATCATCTAATATGTTTTTTTTTCAAAAAACAGAACGTGACGAAAGATGCAACGTGAAAAGCTCTACAATTTGCAAACAACAGTTTTATTTTAAGTGTATTCTTTTTATTTTGAAAATAAAAGCAAAATTCTCTGAACCACCTATCGCAGCGTCGAGAATTGATTGCTCAGAATACTGTTTATTTTGAAAGAAAAAGTATATATTCAAGATAAGCTTTATATTGTAGATTGCAGAGCGTTTCATGCTGCATCGTCTGGTATATATTTTTAAAATAAAATCCTATGGGGATCAAAATATGAAATGCCGGATTCTGTCGTTTATTATAAGTCACTCGTTATGTACCGTATAGAAAATGGCATGTTATTAGCATCAAAGAAAGGATAGACAACAGCAAAGCACAAGACTTACAAGTCTGAGATTTTGCACATAATCCTAAATATGTCTAAGCATCATAACAGAATACTTGAACTCAAACTAAGGTTTTTAGAAGAACCGAGTGAAAAAACTTTTGTAGTGCCCTGTGTAGATAAAAATTAGTCAACTTTTCAAAATGAAGATTAATCATGAGCTATGAAACATATAATAACATGTCCATGATGCAAAAAAGATGGCCTTTGTGACGGAACTGAAATACAACAGAAAATACAACAGCATAACGAAAATGAAAAAATGAAAGAATCATCATCAAGTTTAAAACGACATTCTACAAATCACAGTCAAATCAATTATGATCAATATGCAGATGAATGCCCAGACGATGAGCTTGATTTTCAACTAATTGATTACAACAAACAGAGAAGGAAACGGTTCATATGTGATAAAAATGATCGAGTTCAAGCACGAACAATAATCAATTTGAATATCAATAATAACAAAAATTTACAAACAACAACGATAAGTAATAACAAAGTCAACGACAATCCATTTCGAATATCAAAGCATGCATTGGGTTATGCATCTAAATATCACTTTCAACCAATTAAATTTGAATGTGATCCAAAAATAAAAGATCAACGTGAATGTTCAAAATTCATTCAAGCATTTTTTAATTATATTAAAATTGATTTTCGAAAGCAAAATGTATCATACGGGTAAACCATTATTATTTGACTTCTGATGGATTGATAGAGATGGAAATATTCAAGCAATCCGTAAATGGGCTGAAATAATTGTTTATTTATCACAAGCAAATCGTTTTCCAAAAGAATTAAATAATATTAAAATAACCTCGCATCTGCCAAAGCATTTACCACCACAGTACACTGCTATAATAAAATGGGTTAAAAACTCCATCTCTTTCGATGATGTAAATATAGAAATTACAAGTAAATATAATTCATTATTTTTAATTGAAGAAATTATGGGAACGAAGAATGATCGAAATCGCCATCTTCGTATTGAATTACGTGCTAAAAGAGAAGACATTTTCATGTTAAATAGTGGTAAAATCTATATTTTTGGTCATCTATATGATATAGATGAATTTTTACCATCTCCAAAAGTTTTAATATGTAATAAACGTAACCAACCGGGACTCATGAAGAAGACATTGTACAATCTCAAATTTTGATATATGTAAAAGATGTGGTAGTGACCGAAATAATGGTGACAATCATTGAGAATGTAAAATAATATGTCATCATTGTCAAGGTGGTCGCATGTCGACAGACTTTAAATGTCCATTTGTACAAAAATATCGTCGTCGTCTAATTATCGAATTACGTAAACGTCCAGAACTTTTACCACCTGAAGTACAGTTATTTATACCATCAGAATACCGTAATCCAGGTGATAGAATTAAAATAATTTGTAATAAATCAGCTCAAAATAGTCCATAAGAATTAGAACAACGAACGATTTTCAATATAAATGATTTAAATGCATAGTCAGAATTACCATCCAATCATACCAACATTAATATGGAATTATCTTTATTACAAATTCAACATAATTTAAATGATGCAATAAAAGCAGTTGATAATGAATTACGAGTATTAAAGAAGAATGTCGAAGACGACTGATGCACGATCGAACAGAAATATAAGCATCAACTAAAAATAGTAAAGCAACATTGATTAATCATGCAACAACAAGTTGAAACACAACACCAAATTATATGAACAAATAAGAGCGCAGTTAATGAAACTTTATTCTCGACATGTCAAAAACTAACAAATTTACTTTTCAATGTAGCGTATGGGTACGTAGGTGAAGTTATCACCAGATTCGAGTATTTCCAGCCCGAATTCACCCCAAAACTTGTTCTAAATGTCTTATTCTTGTTCCAAGTACAACTCGACGAGCCCTATCCAACGGTATACTCAGATTTTCTAGAACTCTAATCATTCCCGAATACAGCCGATTTTTCAATTTTTTTTCCTATGAAGTCCAGGATACCCGAAAAGTATTTTCAGCCCGAATTCGCTCAGGAACCTGTTCCAAGGTACGAATTCTTCTCTCAAGTAGAGCTCGATAAGCGCTCGATCGGTATTGTTAGAGTTTCTGTAGGTAAAGCCGGTTATCAGAAAAAAAATCGTTTTTCCAAATTTATTCTCTTTGGCTCCGTGTACCATGACAAGTAGTTTCAGCGCGGATTCCTCTACGAAGTCCTTCTAAATCTTTTAGGTTGGTTTCCAGCAGGAGTTCATGAGCTACACTGGTTTTCTTAATGTTATTTTTGTGATTGTTTTATCTTTGATGGGAAAATCTGGTTTTCCGATTGCTGTTGCATGATAATTAATTGGGTCCTGAGTATTTGCGGTGGGAGTTGGGTTTGCAAGGGAGCATTCCCAGATGTCGGAACACTTTTCAGTCGGGGTTTCGCGCATCTTGTAGTCCTTAGTGACCTATGTCTACTGTAGAAAAAGTTTGGATTTCTGGCATATTCTTGCCAAGATATCGAGTTTTTAGGACATTTTTTCTATAGTGTCCCACCTTTTGCAGGAAAGCTATTTTTTGAATTTTCATCTGAAACTTCGCTTAAATAAAGAGCTCAGCTAGACTAGCTTGCATACAAAGTTTTAAAACTCTTGGACAAAGTCTCTTCGAGACATGAAACTATCAAGGTTCAGATCCTTTTTCATAAATAATATATATTGTATGTATTTTTTGAAAGCTTCTTATCTGGGAGAGACTCTGTCGAAAAGTTGTGAATATTTTTACAGAAGCTAGTCTAGCTGAGGCATTTATGTACACGAAGTTTCAGGTCAAAATTCAAGAATATAGCTTTGCTTCAAAACTGGGACACTATCGGCAACATTTTCTAAAAACTCGATATCTTGGCAAGAATACGCCAGAAACTCAAACTCTTTTTACAGTAGACATGGTTCACTAAGGACTACAAGATGCGTGAAACCCTGACTGAAAAGTGTTTCGACCTTGGGAATATTCCCTTGTTAGTGGTCTCGTGAATATTTCTGTAAACAATAATTTTCTTGCAGGCAATGAGAACAGCTGGCGATGTTGTACGGTTTTTTCTTATAGCTTCGATATCGACCCAATTTCATTCGTTTGTGCTATGGATTCTTCGACTTTGTCCATGAGTTACTTAAGATTCCTTTGAAATAAATTTCAAAGTGCCCAGTCAACTCCAACAGCGAAAAGGATTTTATCATAGAATTTACAAAATCTATACGCATGAGTACGGTGTCGGTTGAGAAGTCAGTCAAATTTGAGGCCCAAAGATAGCGATCAAAGAGGGATGTCCTGGTTAAGGGGCCGCGAAGGTACTGGGAGCTGAGACAATTACTATCTATGATTTTTTTTTCGTCATACTAGAATCTATGAGATGTTAGCACAATTCGACGTATTATCACAAGCAAAGAAAATATCTCACTGTTTGATACATGAACCAATGGCAAAAAAGTGACAGCATCAAAACATCGCTCTAATGACTATATCTTTGGGAATAGCCCTCTATCGACGCAAGCAAACAGAACAAAATCTCACCCTATACTATTTCCATTTCGTTATTAAAATAAATATTTTTTGCCTACGATACCACGAACCACTGATAAACGTGAAACACTTTCCTACAGCTGAAACACAGCGAATTTCCTAAATCCCTACAATTTTTACATCCGATGAAATACAAATACTGGCTTGATTATTAAATAATTCTATTTCGTGAGCGATATCAACACCAAACCTCCAACTCAGCCAATTCACTTGATTGAAACCTCATAATCAAAGCTAATTCAGAGGAAAAAACTGCTTTTCACAGCACCATCAAGCACATATACCGAAAATAACTACCGCAGTCAATGCAGAATCTAGGTCTGCATCATTTGGATCCATATTCGATCCCAGAAACGATTGCAGTCAATTTCTGACAAATTTATCCATTGGTTCACTCCACATGAACATATGGATGCCTCACTAAATATCAACAAAAATTTTTTTCGCGAATGTGATGTCCATCGTATATGCAACATTATATTCAGTATCAAATTCTCTATCTATCAGCATATCTTTGAATTCTAACAGATGATCGAGGTCATTTTTCGACGCCGGTATAAATATGTTCAGTATACGTGACCCTATGGTTGACTTACTATGTATCGACAAACTTTCTTTTTCACAAATGTGTTCTCTCTTTCGGATATCCATCATTATATTCAGGGTGAAATGTTCCATCCATCAGAATAACTTCGAATCCTAGCCCATGATCAGAGTCATTTTCCGAACGTGGTATAAATATGTTCATCATATATCACCCGATGGCTGACACCTTATGTATCAATAAATTTTCTTTTTTCACAACTTTGTTCGATCTTTGGGATATATACCATTACATTCAGTATCAAATTCTCCATATTCTAGAATATCCTTGAGCTCGAACGGATGATCAGGATGATTTTCCGGCAAGGGTAAACATATCTCCACCATACGTGACCATATGGATCGCATAGTATATATCAACAAAATTTTTCTTTTTCATAAACATGTTTTCTCTTTCGGATATGTACCATTACATTCAGTATCAATTTGTCTATCTTTTGGTGTATGTTTGAGATCTAACGGATGATCGGGCCCATTTTCCGAAGGGGTATAAATATGTCCACCGTACCTGATCATGTGATTGCCTCACTATGTATCAATAAAAATTTTCTTTGAAAAATGTGTTCTTCCTTTCAGATATGTACCATTTAGTTCAGTATTAAATTCTCTATCTGTTGGAACAACTTTGAATTGGGAACGCTGATCAGGGTGATTTTTCGAATGGGTTGTGAATATCGCGGCCATAGATGACTGCATGGTTGATTGACCATATCGGAATGAAATTTTTTTGAGAAAATATTTTGTCTGTTTGGGATATGTATCATTATATTCAATGTCAATTTCTCTATGTTTGATGCTAACTTTGAATTGCGATTGGGGATGGACATCAGTTTTCGACAAGGGTAAATATATGTCCATTATGCAGTGACATATGTATAGCACACATCATATCAACAAATTTTGTTTTTTTGGAAAAGTGTTGTCTCTAAGCAGGAAAACTGATTTAACTCAGCTGAAAATCAAAATTAACTCAAATAAATCACCTTAACTCATTATAAATCATATAAAATCATCGGTTTTAATTCAAAAAATATTTTCACAGGGTTGAAACGGAATTTAAATGCATAGTTTTATTGACCTAATATTTGACAATATTCAATATAACTAACTAACATGAATAAAGATATGATTCTATACATATGCGTTAATTGAACATTTATTTTGGTCGCGAAACGACGAATACAATTCTACTTTTGCGAATTAGCTCGAAACCATGCGCTTTTAATATCGATAGCATATTCTTAAGAATATATTTTCTGTTTGTCTAGAAAGAATAGAATGAAACAAAAAAGTCAAAGAATGTTGGTTGTATCGCGAATACCCAGTAGATTCAATCTGACACTCGGATCTGATTGGATTCGATAAACATCCTATCGAATTCCGGTAGGATCCTATACGATTTCAATTGAATCCTGTAAGATTATCATTGGATTCTGGGTCACAGATTGACATTCGGATCCCTAGTGTCGGAATCGAATCGAACCCTATGTTAGTAAATTCAAGGAGTCTGACTGCCGGAAACCGATCGGATCCGACTGTAGAATTCCTGAGAAACTCGATTATCCCGAATCCCGATGGCATTTCCGTCAAGTTCCTATCCGATTTTATCAGGTCCCTACAGTTTGTTATCGAATTCATACCCGTCGGAATCCGAGTCCATCCTACACTAAAAACAAGTTAGATTTCATCGGATTCCGTGGGATACTACACGATCCAAGAAAAACCGGATCGCTACTGGCATCAACATACCACAGAATAGATGTGAACACCACAAAAGCATCCAAACAATAATAGAGATCGAACTACCTCAGTCATAAAACGTATCTGCCATGCAAAAGAATCCATTGCAACCGTATTCCACCTATTGATGAAAGCTCAAATCAAGACCGATGCTTAACTGCCAGAAATCCGCATTGCATCATTCCAACACCGAAAAGTCAAACAATTCTCTATTCTTGCAACAAGAGAATAAACATCATCGGAGCCACTTGTCATGCTTGTCCCCTTTCCAGTATTTTGAACTACCTAGAAACATATTACTGCCGCAGCCTCACACACCGTTTTTGCAAACCCTAGATTTTTGGCGAATTCTGCAACCGATTTCAGTGAGATCTTTTGCAGGTTTCAGTGCTTCTACCATCAATGAGTGCAACAGAAACTCTCCGGAAAGCTCATCTCCCACAAACTCTTACTTCTTCAGATATAAAAAGGCAACTTCCCATGCCAATCGTCTTCTATCTTCGCTGAATATTGCCCATCCATCTTCTCATCTCATATT